CGCCATCCGGAGCCGGCACCAGGTCTCCAGCAGCAGCAGCAGCTCCAAGGTCACGCTGAAGAAGTGTCAGTGGGGTGCGGGGGTGGGGGATCTGGATTGCAGATGCAATGATCAGGAGATCGGCATCGAGGAGCGTGACGTCAGAGGCGGCGCCAGGTGCGTGCATGAGCAGCGGCGGGGGGCAGCGGGGTGCAGGCGTGCGAGGGGGCAGCAAGATGCGGGTGTGAGAGGGGGTATCTGGAATGCAGAAGAAGAAGCCGGGGTCCGTCGCACCAGGTGCATGCACGAGCAGCGGCGGGGGGCAGCGGGGTGCAGGAGTGACGGGTGGCAGCGGGGTGCCGGCGTGCGGGGAGGCAGCGGAATGCCTGCGTCAGGGGGCAGGGAGCAGGGAGCAGCATGAGGCAGCAGGCGGCCGGAGTTGGCCTGCGATGCTGGAAGCCGGTAGCGGGCGGCGGGGGGCGGCAGCGGTACCGGCGACGGCCTCTTGGTACCAATATTTTTGTTATAAGGTAGAACATATAAGAACCGAGCGCGCGCGCGTGGGTTTAAGATAATAACATGATGATGTAACTTTCCTGGAATATGGCCACAGCTGTGTATGACTAATACCAGATAAGACGTTAATATAAACAAAGCGGAGGCTTCAGATAAAAATTGACTAAAAGTACTCATGGTAAAAAATATTATTTAAAAAAATAAATCCCGTGTCGAATGAAATATCAACACTATGAGTTGTTCAGTTTAGCGTTCGCTTTGAGATATTGAAAATTGTTTGTACAGTTTTATTTTTTTAATACAATAAACAAATTTGCCCCGGCTTCATATGGGAACGTCACTATAGCATAAACAAATTTTGATCATATCATTATTATCGCATAAAATAATATTACACCGACAATCGAATATTTACGTATAAATATGAGTTGTGAAAGGTTAGTTTATGCTATTATTAGTGTATGCATATACGGGGTGTCCACCGAAAGGTGTTTTAAATGGATTTTACATTTGAATTATTGAAAAAAATAATAGCAGTTATCTTTTATTGTAGAGGTTGGCATGACTCACGTTCTTGGAAAACAATGATGACGTCATCACCATTTCCGGCCCAGGTGTTGTTTTTATTACAGTTATGTAAACAAAAATGTATGATTTATTACCTTTTTCTTTGAATTTTGTCTGGCTTTTAAGCAGTTATGTAAACAAACTTCAAAGGCGGTATGCGCAATAATTTTTTCTCGGAAATTGATATATAGATGTATTTCTTGGAAAATACGTGACCAAAGCGTTGTTTATATTACCCTTATGTAAACAAATATATAATTTATTACCCTTTTCTTGGAATTTTGTCTGGCTTTTAAACAAGTTTCAACATGTAGCTGTGGTCCTGGTGTGGGGACTTGTAGATAAGAGGATAATAAAATATTTCAAGTTGCACAATATGTGCGTAATGGATTTAACAGCTCAGATTTTTTTTTTGCTAAACGAAAATTTACAAAACTAGATAAAACAGCAGACTGGAACGTCTTCAGCTCATTCTAGTTTGAGACTCTGGAAGTATCGAAATAATTGCTAAATAAAAAACATGTTTCTTTGTAGCAGAGTGTTATGTCCGGGATAACAAATAATGTTCAGACTAGCCTTTAACAACTTTATTGCCTGACAAAACACAACGTATATTATTCGATTTGTATGAACATGTTAGGTTAAGGTTAAGTTTTTCTTCTTCTGCTTCTTCTATTCTTGTTCCATAGGTAGGAGGTTACATACACAACACCCCTCCCCTTCTAGTTAGTATAATCATCTAAATACTTCGGTCTTCGACGCTCTCTAACAGACCCTTGTCATCAGAAGGACTACTCACGTTCATGGGTTGGGGAAGAACAGTCGTTGACAAAGGCTCTGGTCCTAGCATTGGAGGTTGTTCTTCAAAATTTACTTCTGCTGCTGGAACTGGTATCTCAGGTGGTTGCGGGAGTCCATTTTGGTCCTTGGGTGAAGTTACGAGCAAATACTTGGTCTCCCGAGCCAAAAGTTCTCAAATCCCCTTTCACATCCATTGATTCTTGTTTGTTTTTCATATCCATGATGAAATTCGGATGAAGCTTGTCAAATACAGTGTTTATTCTTCGATTCATTAATAACTCTGCTGGGCTTCGTCCTGTAGTCGCATGTGGTGTTATGTGTTGATGCAATAAAAATCTGGATATATTAGTGTGTATATCTCCAGACACCTTCTTTAGAACTTCTTTAGTTGTTTGTACCATTCGCTCTGCTTGCCCATTTCCTGCAGGGTGATATGGGGCTACTCGAGCATGTCTAATGCCGTTTCGTCTAAGGAATGTTTGAAATTCTTCAGAACAAAACCAGTCGCATTATCTGATACAATGACATCGCATAATGAGTTGCAAACAGTTCTCGCAAAACTCTAACAGTTGATTCCGTGGACGTTGAGGGAACTTTACGTACCTCTAACCATTTGGAGTATGAATCCACAACGATTAAGAATATATTACCATTTACTGGTCCTGCATGGTCAATGTGTAATTGGGACCAAGGAGCCGTTGACCATTCCCATGGGTGTACGATAGTCTTCTTTGATAAATGTCTTGATTGCCGACACTTTTCACATAGTTCGACCACTCTTTCGATGTCCTTGTCCAGCCCTGGCCACCATACATATGACCTGGCAAGTGCTTTCATCTTGACAATGCCTGGATGAGCTTCATGAAGCAGGTTAAGTATTTGTCTCCTCCCCTCTTGTGGAATTATAACTCTTGTTCCCCACAGAAGGCATCCCTTGTAAACTGATACTTCCTTTCTGTGTAGCCAATATACTTGACAGTCTGCAGGAATTTCACTTTTACTCATTGGCCATCCTTTCAAGGTCCATAATAGCACTTTAGATAAGGTTGGATCTTTTGATGTGCCTTTTCCAACTTGTTCAGCTGAAAACAAGGGTTCCGGATTGTTTTCCAGCATTAGGACATCGTAAGATGGAGGTACTTCTTGTTCCTTGCAATCTAAAAGTAATCTGCTTAAGGCATCGGCATGGGGAATATTACGTCCAGGAACATAGATCAACTCATACCTATAAGCTGATAATATTAGCCTCCATCTGAGCATTCGTGGCGATAAAACTTCGGGTATTGGTTTGTTTGGTGCCAAAATTCCTAATAGGGGTTTGTGATTGGTGCGAATTTAAGTAAACCTTCCAAACATAGTTATGGAATTTCCGGACACCTACGAATTTGAGTAAACCTTCCAAACATAGTTATGGAATTTCCGGACACCTACAATGCATGCAAGTGCTTCTTTGTCTATCTGAGTGAAATTTCGTTCGGTAGTGCTAAGTGTACGACTATGGTATGCGATGGGCACTTCTTTTCCATTTTTATCAATTAAACTAAGCATTGCTCCAACTCCGTATGGGCTGGCGTCACATGTTAAAATCTTGTTCATCATAATGTGCTAAACAGGCATCAGATGACAACAACTTTTTAATTTTGTTAAACGATTTCATTTCTTCCTGCTCCCATTTCCATGGTTTATCCTTGTGTAGTAACTGATGTAATGGTTCCAGGACGGTTGCTTTGTCTTTCAGGAATAGATGATAAAAATTTACCAAACCCAGGAAAGCTTGAAGTTCCGTTTTACATGTTGGAGGTCTAGCTTCCCGTATTGCAGCAACCTTCTCTTGTGTTGGGTGTATTCCATTAGACGATATTCGAAATCCTAAAAACTCAACTTCGGAACTCAATAATACACATTTCTCTTTCCGCAGACGCAGACCATCTTCACGAAACCTTTGAAATATTAACCGCAGTTTTTCCTCTAACTGATTTTCTGTTTCAGCCACTACCAAAATATCGTCAAAATACGGCAGTACCCCAGGAATACCAACCAACCTATTTTCAATAAATCTTTGAAATATTTGTGGGGCAGTGGAAATACCAAACTGTAATCGGGTGACTCTATATGCACCCAGATGAGTAATCATTGTCTGTGCATCAGCACTTTCAGTATCCACACTCAGTTGCTGGTAGGCCTGGGACAAATCCAACTTTGCAAAAACTCGTCCTCCAGCTAGTGCCGCCAACATTTCCTGCACGCATGGAACGGGATACACATCTTTACGTAATGCTAAATTTACTGTCTGACTATAATCTCCACATATCCTAACCTCATTGTTTGGTTTGATTACGGGTACAATGGGTGTGACCCATTTAGGATGTGCTACTGGTTCCAAAATACCTTGTTCCTGGAGTTTAGCTATTTCTCTCTCTACAGCTGGTTTCAATGCAAAAGGTACTCTTCTAGTTCTCATCAACACAGGATTGACGGACTTATCCACATTGAGATTGATTGGGGGACCTTTGAATTGGCTGTCCACGAACGCGGGTGGCTTCCGGACCCGTTTGGCGATGGTGACGTGGTTGGGGGTATCCCTAAGAATCCCCAGGACACGCTGGATGCGTGCAGGAAGCGTTTCTGCACGGCCGCGGCTGCTTCTGCGGATGTCGGGTTCGGCTCGCATTGTGAAACGATAGGTGTAGGGTTCCCCTTAATTAATAAGTAAAGGGGAACTTGTTAACGAATTCTTTTTTCCCTATTTTGTGGAATGGCAGACCAAGCCGTGCCACAAACTGAGGGGAACAGCTTTAATATACCCCGAAGGGTCGCTGATACTCAGTACTACTACTATTTAAAAATTGGTAGCGACTACTCGTCACTAAAGGAGCGGTTATTCAATTCAAACACTATAATATAAGTGTGAAGACCTACTCAGAGATGCTTCTCGTGGCAAGTCTCGACTGAGAGTGAGCTACCGAGGCAAAACTCGGCGGTTATTTAATGAATAGCGGTCGGACTGCGTACTGGACGTCGAATGCGTCAAAAAGGCCCCTGGCAGGAAATCACGGGGCGTAATGTTGGATTTTTCTTGCGTCCCGTGACACCCCCGGGGTTTCGGAAGAGCAACTTTGAGTGTTGGTGTTTTGTATTTATTCTATCAAGAAAAAATGGTTAAATACATGGCAAAATACAGTATATAGAATAATAATACATATGAAATAGTTGGTACTGAAAAATAGGTTAATGTATGTTAGAGTGTCTTTGGCACTGGGGGGGGGGGGCTGTCCAACGCTGGCTGCTCCGGTAGTCCGGCTGGCGGCTGGTTGGCTCTGCTGGGGGTTGGCCGACGTCCCTGGCCTCTCGTGGGGACGTGGCTGCTGAGTCCTCTTGGTGGGCGGCGGAGAAATAGCGACCATCCTCACTGGACGTCGCTTGCTCCTTATATCAAGGTGTCCGGGAAAATGCTGGGCCGGTCGTTTGGTTGGACCGCCTACAGCGGGTGGTGGCTGGCTCGGGGGTTTGGTCTCTGCATGTGGCCTAGCATGGCTAGGGCCTGGTGTCGCCTCAGGATAGGCTATCAGTGGACATGGAGGGCGGTCGTCGTCCAGACGTTGGACCCGTCCATGGTCCGTAGGTTGCCGTCCTGGGTGGCTGGTTGGCTTTATTAGCCGACCGGGGTGGAGACCGTCCTGGTCTTGGGCCTCGGTATAGGGTAGTCGTGACTCTGTTGGCCGGTCGATGTGTGGACCGTCCTGGTCCTGGGCCCCGACTTGGGGTACCGCTGGCTCTATTGGCCGGCCGGGGTGCAGGTCAACCAGACCTTGGTCCTCGGCTTCTGCGGCTTCCGGTGGTGGCATCTCGTCTTCCTCGTCCGAGGAGACGTCATCATGGACTGGATTGCCCGGTGGTGCTGGGCTTGTTGGTCGAAAAGGAGGGTCACGGCTTGAGTGCCCTGACTGGTGACGGTAGTGTTACCGCAGGCAAGTTGCACCTGGGTAACATAATCGCCCTGGGTGGCTGTTGGTTGGACAAGATAGGCTCGAACTATGTTAAGGGCGGCTCCAGAATCAATTAGGGCGGTGCATCTCTGACCTTCCAGGTAGACGGTCAGACGTGAGAGTTCGGCATTGGCTGGGACGACCTCAGTGGTAATGTTGTTAAGGTCGCCGACAAGGGCTTCAACATCCATGTTGTCGAATGGGTTTGGTTCGATTGCCGAGAGAGGCGTTTCAACAATCGGACCTGGATCTGGGAGGCTCACTGCCTCGGTGGCTGGGCTGGAGCCCTGGCTGAGGTCTGGCTCGGACCTGCAGCAGATTGGCTTGGGGCCGGACGGGTACTAGTGTTCGGTTGAGCTTGGATGGCTAGGGTCAAAGCTTGCAGAAGCTCGACGGTGCTTGGCGTAGAGCTCTGCGGTGTAGAAGGTCCAGGTTGGGACGGTGGTCCTCGATGCTGGTAATTATGGAAGGACACCTCGCTGTCCAGCAGAGAAGGCCTCAAAGGCACTTGTGGTGGGGTACCAGGTAGGCACGGTGATGGCTCCTTGTCGGATGGTTTTAAATTTTTTTTTTACAAAAATGGTCTTCAGACCTAGGGTGGGCCTGGTGGACCTGGAGCGGACCTAGTGTGGGCCTGGAGGACCTGGAGTGGACCTGGTGGACCTGGAGTATGCCTGGTGGAGGCTTGGTGGACCCTGATGGACCTGGACCAGACGTAGTGGACCTGGATCGGACCTAGTGTGGGCCTGGAGGACCTGGAGCGGACCTGGTGTGGACCTGGTGGCCCTGGAGTATGCCTGGTGGAGGCTTGGTGGACCCTTGTGGACATAGGGTGGACGTAGTAGACCTGGAATAGGCCTGGTAGTCGTCGAAGATGCTTCGCTGGGATCGCACAGGCTCCCTTGCCTGTGTAGGTAACCTGGATATCGGTTACTCAAGCCTCACGTGCTGGGCGCCATGTCCACGAACGCGGTGGTTTCGTGGACCGTTCGGCGATGGTGACGTGATTGGGGGTATCCCTAAGGATCCCCAGGACACGCTGGATGCGTGCAGGAAGCGTTTCTGCACGGCCGCGGCTGCTTCTGCGGATGTCGGGTTCGGCGGGTTCCCCGTAATTAATAAGTAAAGGGGAACTTGTTACGAATTCTTTTTTCCCTATTTTGTGGAATGGCAGACCAAGCCGTGCCACAAGCTGAGGGGAACAGCTTTAATATACCCCGAAGGGTCGCTGATACTCAGTACTACTACTATTTAAAAATTGGTAGCTACTACTCGTCACTAAAGGAGCGAACAATTAGAGGTTATTCAATTCAAACACTATAATACAAGTGTGAAGACCAACTCAGAGATGCTTCTCGTGTCAAGACTCGACTGAGAGTGAGCTACCGTGGCAAAACTCGGCGGTTATTTAATGAATAGCGGTCGGTCTGCGGACTGGACGTCGAGTGAGCCGCAACCTGCTGTTCAAAAAGGCCCCTGACAGGAGATCACGGGGCGCAATGTTGGATTTTTCTTGCGTCCCGTGACATGGCCAAGGCCCTCCTTAAATATATCCGCGAACTCTTTAGTTAGTTCCTGAATTTTGCTGCTCTCCTCACGGACAGTTTTTACTATACTAACTTTGATTTGCAATGCTTCAAACCAATTTCTGCCCAGTAAATTGGCTCTGTCGGACTTCGCTACCACTAGGGGAAGTACTGTAACTATGGGTCCTAACTGTACCTCTACATCACACATTCCTTGCACTTCGATAACTTTACTCCGATAGTCCTTTAGACTAAAACTTGGTGTTGTTAACCGGGGCTTATTTTCTGGAAACACACTGTCGAATGTTTTATTCCCGATTATAGTATATGCTGATCCAGCTACAACTTTATTTCTTTGCTATTAATTTTAAGTGGCACCATAAAATCCTTTATCTCTGTCCCGTCCTTTATGACAAATATATCATAGCTTGGGTGGATAGCTTCCGTTGACTCTGCTTCCACCATTTGCACTTGCTTCTCTTCCTCTGCACTTATCGCCTTCTGGTTAGCAGTTTGTTTTTTCTGGATCTGTTCTTTTCTTATGCCTCTTTTCTTGGATAGGCATGCTCTTTCAATATGCCCTTTTTTCTTGCAAAAATTACAAACAGCATCCTTGAATCGACAATCTTCTGGAGCATGCATGTTCTCGCCACGGAAACATGTTTTACCATTTTGCTTGAATTGCTTATTTTGAAACTTGTTTACACTGTGAGTTGCTAGCACCGTCGTCTCTCTTAGAGCAGAGACACTCTGCATTGCCGTTTCATGTGCAAGGGCCAATTCTTCGGCTTTACTAAAAGTTAAATTTTGCTCTGCCAACAGTCGACGCTGTAAATTTTCATCCTTAACTCCGCATACGATCCGGTCCCTTAACATTTCCTCTAATATAGATTCATTAAATCCACAGTCGCCTGCTAGATGTCTTAACTCTTTAATATATGATGCCATATTCTCTTCCGGTTTTTGATTTCTACGATGAAACATGAAACGGCCCACTACTGTAGAGCATAGAAAATGTGCTGACAGTTTCTCGGTTATGACCGCCAAATCTACATCAGACACAGCCTGTGGTGCTATTAAAGAGTGAATGATGTCGTATGTGGATGGTCCACATATACTCAGAAAAACAGCTTTCTTCTTGGTTTCATCTGTGATTCCATTTGCAGTTATGAAAAACTGGAATCGCTCCATATACGTCTTCCATTTAAGCGGTTCGCCGGTATTGAATGGTTCAATTGTACCCAGCAAAGCCATGATTGAGATTTTCTCGTCTTTCCTCCCTCTCGGTTCGATTCACAGGGCGAACTCGACTGCGCTGATAAATGTTATGTCCGGGATAACAAATAATGTTCAGACTAGCCTTTAACAACTTTATTGCCTGACAAAACACAGCGTATATTATTCGATTTGTATGAACATGTTAGGTTAAGGTTAAGTTTTTCTTCTTCCGCTTCTTCTTCTATTCTTGTTCCATAGGTAGGAGGTTACATACACAACACAGAGAAACATTCGTTAGAACTAATCAAATAGAAGTGGATACAAAATATGAAATATCCGACATCAGCATTGTCTTGGGAAAGTTTGGATCTCGAGTAATAGTAATAACACTGACAGCGGGTAACGGCAGTTCTGCAAGCTATAAAATAATAATTTTCGAACTTTGTTGAGTAACGGAAAAGAATATATGAAGAGGTTAAATAAATTCCTGGTAAATATCCAATGTTTAAAGGAAGACTTGACGTCTGCATTGAGATTGTGAGGAAGATACGTAATGTCCACATCACCGATCAAAAAGAGGGTCCAATTCAACAATCATACCAACACCCGGTACATATTCCACTAGGCTTACACCCACAGGACAGCTATAGGTGTTGATGCAATATATCGAGTCTGATTTCAAGAAGGGATAATAAAATTCTTATATTATCGAGCCTGTACTTGGAAACGAAGTTAATCAAATTTAACCTCTTTAATATGTATGATATAAATATTTAATAAAATAATTAAAATTATTATCTTTTTATTTTCCCTTTTCCCCATTAAAATTAAAAATAAATAAAAAATCTGGTATATTTTAAACTCATTTATGAAATCAATAAATTCAGTCCGTACGATGACAAGCGCATACTAAATTACGTCACCACAGACACGATCCCGTGGGGATATAATTACCAACAAGCAGTGACTTGTTCGATCACTCTCATGGAGTTCTAAGTCGAGATAAATAGCGATATATAGTAAAGGTTAACATAATTCGTCTTTCTACCGTTGTTCGCGATGGCCGACTTAGACATTCAATTGCAATACGAACTTGTTAAATTTTCACAAAAAACTTACGAAGATTTCCTTCAAAAAGCTATTTTTGACGATAATTTTCAATTAATTGACAAAATTCTGGAAAAAATCGTGATTCCCGACCGTGCAATATATTGGCTAGCTTTGCGCGATAAATGTAACATCGGGTTGATGAAAAAAATCTTTGCCAAAAAACTTCAATATGATATATTTATCGAACAACTGCAAAATATTTTCCAAAAGGAATATATGTCTCATATTAGCCTCGATATTTTACGTCAAATTATAAAGAGTCATTATCCAATATTAAATTCATTTAATCGGTATTATTTGGAAAAATTATTGGTCAACGGTGATCCGTCATTGGTTGATCGACATAGTCAATGTTTCTCGGCAAAAAATATTTTTCTAAATTACAAAGAAATCGATTGGTCAATAGATAAGGCCGTTTGTGAGGCCGCCTACTTTACTCAATATAATTTTTTGGAAACTTTGCACCGGGTAATTAAAGAAAATAATTTAATTTTTAAATTAAATGTAAAAACTAATGAAACACATAGGCAGCTGATGGTATGGCTCCAGGAGAACGTCTCCAAGGGTACCAATGGTCAAGGTGTTGGATGGTCATCTGGCCCAGACAGCAGCAAATGGCCATCAAAATTAGTTGGAGATTATTCTCAGACATTATATATGTTAAATANTGAGGACAAGTGAGGACAACATTGAGGACAAGTGAGGACAACAATGAGACCAAGTGAGGATATTCATGATCAGCTAAAATGGGTTCGAGATTAAAATTTTATATCTGGAATGCCATTTTGTGCTTAGTTCACCTTTACAATGATTTTTTACTTAATACTCGGAAATATGAAGGCTTGATGAGAATAGCCAGAGGATGAATAACCATGGTGACTGCTTTTAACTGATAACCTTAAATGACTTATAAATGATGTCAATAATTTTCGATGCCTTAAGTGATGCAAAAAAGAGAGAAAGCAATAGTCTGTTCGTTACTAATAGAGAAAAAGAACAGAGACCCATTGATTGGAAAATCAAAACAGAATAAACAGATGGGGGCTTACGAAACTAAAATATTAAAATAAATACAATTATTATGTTGGTAGGAGAAGTCAGATAATATTTGAATAAGTCATAAGTTTAAAAAAAATATGTTTAGTCAAACCAGAATATGCTTACCATGCATTTAAAAAACAGTTACTATACTTTTACTATAGGTCGGTGATGTATCTAAGTGATATTCGAACTTAGTGTGATGTACATGATGTTACTTTAGAACAAAGCCTCGTACATATTACGTTGACTCAATCAGATAATTGTCTTTATTGAACATATTTGAATCAGTTACTTCAGGTAACATACAGTGAACATAGTTATATTTTATCTCAAATATTCATAACTTGATTCAAAGAAAAACCTTATAAAATTAAACTATCTAAATAAGTAATCGTTTTTTCTATTATATATATATGTATGTATATTAATATGTATATGGTAAATCATTAGTCCAATGAACTATGTACAGGATATTATGCCTTATATACACTTATCATCAAGATATCAATACAATTAAACGTGAGAGTTTTAAATTAATTCTTTCATTTTGTACTTCGGCTGACTAGTGTCGGTGAGATGTAATTTGCTAGACAAGAGGGTCATGTGACGGATGAATGACACTCTAAACAAATACCAGCTGCAACGATCTAACAGGTCTCCTGTAATCGTTGGTTTGTGTCCGTTTTACATAAGAATCAGTGTTAATTTACGACATTCGTCGACGTGAAACATCTTACCATATAGTTACATGCAATTATCAATTTTATGTGAATATCTAAAAAGTTATTTAAGATATCAGAATGTTAGTGAGATACTAAAAATATGAAACAATAAATGGTGATAATCATTATGTATAGAAAGATGAAAGAATAATTACATAAGCAGTAAAGTGGATATGATTCACTTTTAATTTATTTGACTCCCCTCTCTCCCTCCACCACTTCTCTCTCCCCACCCCATCCCACTCACTATTCGAGAAATGAAACACACAGAGTTCAGCAATATTTTTCCACTTTATTTAAAATAAATAAATACAATCATCAAGCTTATCCCTATTAACAATATACCATTTATATATAGCATACACATTCTGCCTAGTGCAGCATAAATTATTAATTTTATGTCTATTACAATGAAATTTTAAGCTAGATAATATTAAATCTGTTATTCTACTACAGCCATACGGCTCCAAGTCAATAATAATATTATTAGGTAAATGAGGCTCCAGCCATCTCTTTTTCTCCAATCCTTTCACGAGGACAGGCTGCTCTTCGCCTAACACACTATCGGATATGAAATCTCCGAGTCCACTGTACGGTAAATTATCCCACGATGACGACCATCTAAGACCATGTACGTAATTCACAGTCCAGTCGATTTGGATTTGTACACTCTCCCTGAGATGTTTATAGGGAATCTTGGGCTTGACTATTCTATTCACACAGGATCTGTCGTTAATGTTAAAAATGGAAATTTCCTTGCACGTGAAAGCCAATTCTTTTTTGTATTGAAATCCCTGCAAGTCGATTATGTACATAGCTGCTGATGCTGCTACTAATAAGTGCGAACTATGCTCGTCAGAGGGTTATAGTACACGATCCTATCGTGAATTATAAGACAAAAGGCTGCGGTCTCATTCGGGATATTGTCATTAGTACCGAATTCCAACCTAATGTCCACAGTTCCCGACTTTAGAACTTCATTCCGACAGGAACAATCGACGACTATCAAAGGAGCCATATGCTTGTACGTATATGTAGTTAGAAAAGGCTCACTATCCTTCTGATAGTATGAATGTTGGAATTGGGCATACATGTCATACAGGATGGCATAACAATTCTTTGAAAAATCCACATTAAAGTTATCGTACGGGTACGAATCGGAATTTAGAAAAACCTTGAAATTGGTCAAATTGCAATGATCAAACTGGCTCATGGCCTTATCAATCTTATTCTTACGGGCCACTTGGAAGCCGAAAATTATGAATCGAGGCTTCTCCAGCTGTGAAGAAGTTTTTATGCTCCAAGTATGTGTCCGGGTCTCGGTAAGCAAGGGGTACTCGTGCAGTTCCCAGCTACGGAAAGGCACAGCCAATTCTACGTTTCTGTCGATATATTTCAACAATTTCAAACGTTCCGCATCAGCCACCGATACGTGTGGCACCTTCCACGAAACACTCTGTAGTTGTACACGGAGACCCTCATCGTCGCCAGCAACGCCCACGATGGCGTTCGTATCAGTGGAGCCGCGATAAGTACCAGCTCCTGTCTCAAATTGACGATAATTTTCTGGAAATCTTCCCCGAATCCCATGCATACCCTCAGAGGGATGCATACGTCGAATTTGCCCTCGGCATCGATGAAATGGTCGCCGACAATCCAGCCGGCATTTTCCAACTTGATGCTTTCATTTTGACTGATTGACGCGTAGTTCTACATGATGGTAGTGAGGCCGGCGTTTCGCGATCTATCCACAGGTATACCATTCAACTCGTATCGGATTTCGTCGAACAGCAGCAAAATGCCCATCCTGTTGAACTTTGCAGTCGCCGAAACCGTGCCATCAGCTTTGCACAGTCTACCTCTGATATACAGGAGACTATAATATGGAGCCGTATACGTATCCTGCTGCTGAATCGGGATGCGGATTTCATCGTTGTTGTTCAAGTTCGTCGCCGAATACGGACCGTGGGAACGCTTCTCGAAATTTACTATGGCGTTATCGAAGAGCGGCTTCTCCAACATGTTTAGAATATTAGAATTCATTGTGAGGTGGGCAGTAGCACTTTGTAGCCCAGAGAGTACAAAATCTTCTTGTTTTGCGATGTGAACACTTGAAACGTCACAGGTAGACTAATTGATTTCGCTCCAGGTGAGGCTTTTAAAGGTTTTCGGCTGTGACCGACGACAGCGAGCCCAAAGCCACTCCGGATCCTAAGTCCCATTCCTCTTCAGGTGCAGTCTTATCGTGATGACTTCTCCACGGAAATTGATCAAATCCCCGTCTTGATCCACTATTTTAATGGTTACACCCTCGATGCGACGCTTGTTGACCGGCAGGTAGATTACGTTGGCAGGAAAATATATTATTTTATAGCCAGGACCGACTCTCGGGAAAAATTCGTGTAAGACGTTGACCGTTAATGAAACTGTTCGAAACGAGATTGCACTCCACACAAATGGCGTTGACTTTTTGAATTTTAATAGGATTATTGGATTCGTGAAACATATTCGCTTTTAATTTACGGTTTTTATATCCCAATAATCTACCTATACTGTAGGGTTTGTTGAAATTAATTGTCGTGTTGGCTTTAATTTCACACTTTAACGTATTTTTATTGGATTTTATGGAAACAAACACTAAATTATCGGGGAGATTAGTATCGGGAGCGGTGAGCTCGGCTAAATTACTATTTATGTACGTATTTATATCTCGTAGGATCCCTCCGGTATTTTTATAACTTTATCAGCATCACCGTAATAGAAACGATTATTCGTAGAATCAACATTCGGTATGGAGTGGTAGGCTAGAAAGTCCGTAAGCCCGATTACATATTTAGCATCGTCCTCGAGCTCAATAGGCGGGTAAAACTGCGAACTCAGAATCGATGAATCACCCGATAACGTAAGCGTATATGACATATCAACACACACGTGCACTGTTCTGCTTGGATGACTCACGCCGACTGACCGTGACTTTATAAGCGTGACTCATTATATAGAAATTTCAGACACAGATGTCCACAATTCACCGTATCATACGTCTGGTATTGTTTATGATTATATTTGACGCGACATGACTTTAGATATTTTAATAATTCCACAGGAGATCTCAAATTACCGAAACTATCGAAATATACGGCTTCAGGTCCTCTCTTGTAATATGCCGTCCAATGAATACCTGCACCGCTATCACTGTCCAAATTCAAGATCCCGCACTCGTTTTTATGTACATTTTTAGGTAATCGGTCCCTCATATAGACGCCTCCGAAGTGTGGAATTTCCAATAATTTTGCGTATTTAAGTAAATCTTGATCGGTGAGGGCGCGATTCGGTAGTTTTTCTAGTCATTTGCCGGCTTTCTTGGTCTTGTTACAACACTTCTTCTTCGTCTTATTCACATACAGGCCAAGTCCTTGTCGATAGGGGCGTAGGTAGAAACCTTTGCCGAGAGCTATTGCCTCCATTTTTTGTTGTGACGTTGAGATTCTTTAAGCTGGGTGGCTGCATTCCTAGCATCGTTTACAGCCTTGGCGATGCCCGCAGCTCCACCAGACAGAGCACCGAAAGCGCTAAGCTCCGCGAATATGGGAATCAGAGGCAGGACACCGCCGGTCTTTGGAATTGGAATTACGCGGGCCTTTGGATGTGATATGCCTCCGGTGGAGGCCTTCTTCATGCGTTAGGCTACTCGAACTGCCTTCTTCACGGCATCCTCAACGGTGCCCGACGTACAGCTTTGCGAATTTTATCGGAAACTTTGCGGAATGTTAGAGCCCACCGGATTTATTCACAGGCTTCTTCCTCTTGGGCTTCGCGATCCTCCAACCCAATTTAACTTTAGCAGCCATGGCTCCGGCTACTCCTGCAGCGGCTGCCCTCTCAGCCAGTGAGGAATATTTCGCGAACACCCTCTTCAGAGCTTGATGGGCTAATTTCCTGTCTGCTACGTTTCTGCCCGCCACGTCGGACACTTTAGTGTACTCGTTGTCGTGGTCCTTGCATGTGTTATCAAGGTCGTTTATGCCTTGGTCACCGCGAGCAAGGCTCTTGGCCAACTTGGTGCCGGGGCCACAGAAACGATACCCGAGAATATGCGCTTCGAAAGGTAACTTGTTGATCAAAGGATTGAAAAGTGCCATGTTACCTGTACTACGCACGCGAACAAACTAAGGTGCGCCAGGTGAGAGCTACCTATTTATAGTCGATGCACACCTGTCTTTCTGTTAGTATTGACCATACGCTTCAAGAAAGAAGTTGCGGCAGGTGGCAGTCTCGAAATCGAAAACATCGATTGTAACGGTTCAATTAAATTTATTGAGGATTTTAATTAAAACTTAAGGACGGCTGGTATATATTCTGTTTAATAATGTTTATGGACCTAAGCCATAGGCAACATTCATTACCTTTCTTTTATGGCTACAAATCTAAAGCCGTTTAATATATGAGACTCGCAAAAAAGGTAACGACAGTTTTTGGAATGGGGAGATAGGTTTTTACGTTTTCGTACGGGCTATCGCTAAGGTGCGAGTGTGGAAAATTTTCTGCTATTTCTTAACGCTTGTGTTACCCAAAAAGGGGATTTTGTGTCAGGAAATTGGGTGAAAATTGTGTTCCTTTGATGCATTTTGGATAGTACGTATCTTGGAACTTTCTGGTGGAATACAATTGCAGCATTGGCTGGATCTTAGTGCGCCTTGGCGATTGCAAAGTCAGGCCGTAATATCTAATTTCCCTTATATGATTACTGGGATACTAAATAAGCCACTCTTGTGGTGCAAGTATTGTAAAATTATCTTGCATAAGAAACGATATAAATTTCAGCAATAGACACAATACAGTCTGACACAATTTGTCTATTTCAAATAAACTTGAAACAACTTCTATTGTGCTACCAGGGATATTTCTAGTTATTTGCAAAAAACGACCCCCTGTGTTTTGGAACCCTATGAAACTCTATGGAACCCTCGCACTTTAAGTATTTGTTAACGTTTCGAAAAATCTATGTTTTCGTCTCCTGAACTTTTCTTTATTTTCCGTTTTAGTTACTTTGACAATTTAAATTTGTTTGCTGTTTGTTTCCATTGCTAGAGATATCATATGTTGTTTATATGTAAAGTATATGAGACAGAATGAAGGAATATATTCAGAATCAGCTGTAATAATAAGTCTGGCAGAAATGATAGATTTAAAGCAGAAAGTACAGGAAATAATAAGATACAGAGGATATGAGATGAGAGGAGAGGCAACATTTTGATTAAAATGTGGAATGAACAGGAATTGTATGTAAATGACAGACAACTGGCTAAAGAAATTGAAATGGATGTACATGGGAAATATGGGCATATAGGAGACAGGAAGATGTAGTTAATTTTCAGAGAAAATTATTATTGTAAAGTTGTATTATAAAGTTAATATTTTTATTACCTACATTAACTCGGGAATCTGCAATAGAATTACGAAAATTGTCAGATGCTATGGTTAAACATTTAAGATTTTAAAATACATTAGGTCAAAATACTGAAACATGGTATGTCATGATTATTTTTCTGGTAACCAGTAAATTGGATCCTGTTACTTATGGCGAATGGGAAGAAACGGAAGCTAGGGATAAGCTCCCAACTTTAGAAGAATTTAAAGTTTTCCTTAAAAATAGAACTGAATTGTTAGAGTCATTGGAAGGTAATAAACAAACTAAACATAGGATTCCTGACTACCTAGTGTATCGCAGGGACCGAAACAGACACGGCGGAGGCGTGGCCCTGCTCGTAAAAAGAGGTATAGATCACCATATGTTGCAGGTTTATCAGCTAGAAAACATGGAAGCCGCCGTCGTATCGATCCGTACTCGCAGGTACGCAGACATCGCCGTGGTGACTTGTTATCAGCCCCCTCAGCTCCCGCTCACCGATCACGATTTACGCGCGGTCCTGGAGACGTGGCCCCAAACCGTAGCCATCGGGGACTTTAACGCGAAATCGCCCGAATGGCACAGCACGACCACCACCACGCGTGGCATGGTGCTTCTGCAATTCTTGCAGAACCACAAAGACGTTGCAGCGTATGGACCCGATGGACCGACGTACTACGGTGCAGTTGGAAGACCAGACGTATTGGATATCGCTTTGCTCAGGGCAATACAGATGGCCGCTGACCTAGCGACGTACTACGAGGGGCGACGAACCACGCTCCTATTCTCCTAACTCTAGGAGACGAGCGTACCGGCGAGGACACCGTTGCCAAGCGGCGGACCGACTGGGGCCTATTCCGCGCAGAAATGCAACGAATATGCGCACACATTCCGGTCGTCTGCGACGCGGCGGACCTCAAGGCTACCCTCGCGAGCCTTGAGACGGATATCCACACCGCCTTGGAAGCCAGCACCACGGAAACGACGGAGACTAATCAGGGAAAGACGTGCGGCGAAAAGAAGAGCCACGAGGACAGCACACCCCCGGGATAAGCAGACGTTAAACCAGCTGAACCGGAGGGTAAAAGCGGCTCTAGAGGAGCATTACCAGGACTCATGGCAACGACATCTGGAGTCACTGAACTCCGAAGACAGCAGCCTGTGGACGATGCAACGGGCGCTGAGGA